AATACCACAAATCATTTTCATCGAAAGCAGCAATGTACATACAACACTTTAATCAGTGACTGGACTGGTCCGTGGTCGATCTTACATTAACCAGCAGACACTTTACGGGTCACCGAACGCTGTCATGCTCACTCTGCGGTTCGTTTTCCCACACCGCATCTCTCTGCCCTAAGACCACTTCAACTCACGACACTAGCGCTTCGGCACCAGAACAGGTGAAGCCTGAAAGACAAACACCTCTTTGCTACAATTTCAACGAGAATGTTTGTACTTGTAATAATTGTAAATTTTTTCATGCTTGCAGCTATTGCATGAACAGTCACCCGAAGTTTTCTTGTCCACGCCGCACAAAATTTATAAAAAAGAAATAAACACTCCGGTGAACACCAAGGAGCTATCTAAAGCTCTGGAAAAGCATCCAAATCGCTGTTTCGGGTCTTACCTCATTTTAGGGCTCATGCATGGGTTTATAGCTGGTCTTTCCTATCTGCCCACGTTCTCTTTCACCTGTCAAAACCTTCAGTCAGCTATCAAAGTTCCACAGGCCGTAGATGATCTGAGGGAGAAAGAAATAGAGAAGGGGTACATGATCGGACCTTTCAATCAACCTCCCTTCAAACTTTTCCGCATTAACCCTTTAGGAGTTGCAGTTAGGAAATACTCAGGGGAAAAAACTTCTAATTTTTCATTTATCCGCTCCCCACTCCACCCTAGGGGTTCCAAGCATTAACAGTTTAATTCCCTCAGAACCTTTTTCCCTGGCTTATTCCACAGTGGACAACGCAATCAAACTCATTAAATTAGCCGGCAGAGGAGCGTGGCTCAGCAAAGCAGACATTACTGACGCCTTCAAAATCATGCCCTTACACCCCTCCTCTCAGTGGCATCTTTTCGGGGTCAGTTGGCGAGGAAAATTTTATTTTTCAGTTAGACTCACCTTCGGGTGTAAAAGCAGCCTAAAGATATTCGATACACTGTCTGAAGCACTCTGCTGTGTCTTACTAAATAACCTCAAACTACAATTCGTTCTTCACCTGTTGGATGACTTTCTGCTTATTGACTTTCCAGATGCCAACCCATCACGCAGCATTAATTCCCTGGTTAATGCATTCAATAAATTCGGCATTCCTCTTGCAGAAGAAAAAACAAAAGGCTCATCTCGTGTCCTCGATTTTCTGGGGATTACACTAGATTCAGTGAAAATGCAAGCATCTCTTTTGCTAGACAAACTAGAAAGGATTAGAGGTATCATTAGAACTTATTCACAATTATCTACCTTAACAAAAAGGGATCTTCTTTCTCTGCTGGGCCATCTCAATTTCGCCATGAGGATCATTCCCCAAGGTCGTTCCTTTATTTCCAGACTTTTAGATCTGTCCAAAACAGTCGAGAAAATGCATGACACGGTCAGGTTAGATGAAGGCTGCAGGTCCGATTTAATATTCTGGTCTAAATTATGCGACAACTGGAACGGCATTTCCTTCTTCTATGAAGAAGATATAGAAACCTCAGTTAAACTACAATTTTTCATCAATGCAGCTCCTTCCGTCGGGTTCGGGGGGATTTTTAACAAACAATGGTTTGCAGAAAGATGGCCAAAAGAACTTAAGGAACTGGGTCCCTCTATCCAATAGACAGCACTTATGGAACTATATCCTATAGTGATTGTTTGCTTATTATGGGCAGATCAATGGACTAGGAAAAACATCCTCGTTTTCTGCGATAACGAAACCACAGTGAACATTATTAACAAGGGTCACTCCTCCGTGCCTTTCATTAACCGTCTTATCAGGCGTCTAACCTGGATCTCAGTTATGAACAATTTTACAATTAAAGCTACTCACATACCTGGGCTGGATAATAAAATAGCTGACTCTCTGTCTCGGTTTAATTTCCAGGAATTCAGACGCCTGTGTCCGGGAGCTGTTGCATCACGACTGGGCTGCCCGGACTTCAGCCAAACAGTCCTAGACTGAACGCAACATTGCAAAAATACCTCAAATCAGCCGCACACTACATGAGATCAGGGCTAGCTAAAACGACACTTAAAACTTACGACTCAGCGTGGTCGTCTTTTTCAGATTTCTGCAACGCTTTCTCGGTGCCTAAACTCCCAGCTAACATACCCATTATATGTGCTTTCATTACGCACTGCTTCGAATCCAGAAAGCTTAAGCCTTCCACCATCAAGATTATGATCTCAGGCATTCAATTCCACATTAGATGTTTAGATCCTTCCTCTCAAAGCCTGTTACAAAATCCCTCCATATGCCTTCTCTTTAACGGGTTAAAAAAGGAAAGCCCTGCAGTTCCAGATAAACGACAGGTGCACACGATGGTGGATAAATGTGCATACGATGGTGGATAAATTAAGATCAGGTCTTTTCACTCCGCACACAAACTTGCTTCTAGAAGCAGCGTTCCTCACCGCCTTTTACGGATTCCTCAGAGGTGGAGAATTCACAATTAACACCAAAATATTCGACCCTTCACACGACCTCACAATCAAAGACATATAATTTCACACAGATTACTTTTCCATCTATCTGAAACATTCCAAAGCAGATAGAGATAATAACGGAAGTACTATCAACATTTCTAGAACCAACAATGGATACTGTCCCCTAACAGCCATGAACCGGCTGGTAAGCTCACGCAGTAAATCCTACAGATCCACTTTTCATCACAGAGAAAGGAGAAGCTATGTCCAAGCATTGGTTCGCCTCACGTCTCCGAACCGCATGCCTCCATTGCGGCATGGACCCCACGCTTTATACCAGCCATTCATTCCGCATAGGCGCGGCAACCACTGCAGCTGCAACAGTCTTCATACCCATGCTCAAAGCAATGCGTCGGTGGTCATCATCAGTGTACCAACGATACATTAGGCCTTCAACTCCGGACGTAATACTAACGCAAAAAGCCTTGAGCAGTTCTTCCATATACATTTTTTTTTTAAATCCTCTGCATCTCGTAGTATCACGATACATTAAGGGGCACGCTGCTCCCCTACCCCTCATGCCAATCTCAGGGGCATGCTGCTTTGTTCTTGTGGTTCTCCCACTGGAGAACACCACTGCTGCTTATTCGGGGCCAGCCACAGTCCCTCGCAAAGCTTTGCAAAAAACAAAAAAAAACAAAAAGGGGACTGCTGTTTTCTCCCGCTGGAGAGAACACCCTTTGCTGCTATAACTGCAGGGGCCTGCTGTTCAATCCC